CTAGTAGCCGGGACAACTTCTTTATGTTTACAGACGTGACGTAATGACGCAGTGCCATGCTCGAATTTCCCGCGAAAACCTACCCGTACCACTCAAATTAGAAAACATTATTATAAGCTAACCGTTGTGAATCTGGCTAAAGTAAGGCGATAGTTTTGAACACTGGCTGGTTATGTACTTGCTCAAATATTGAATTTGGATAATTTTTAACCAAAAAAAGTTACAGACTGCAGCTTTAATTAGTGACACTTAGCCTGCAATGTTTATTTGAATGTGGCAACATTTTTATTTTTAAATCTTTATTTGAATATGGCAACATAATATCGCACTCTACAATATTTCTATGAATAAATCTCTGACAGAGACTATCAGCCAATCACTGTGTGCATAGTTAATAAGAATGCTGACATCATCCATAGCAACGAGCTCAGCCCCGCCCCCTTACTCTGAGCTTAAGACTTCTCTCTATTCCTTAATAAAAGTTGTCTCAGCAGCTTTGTGAATAAGATTTAAGTGAAAACTCTTAGCTAAAAACTTTTACTGCTATTTAGGAGAACTCTTAGTGGTAAGATAAAATGTTTTATGAATACGGGCACTGACGTGTATTGGATTACCCCATATGGAAGTGCCACAAATTCGAATTGAAAAGATCAGATTCCATGTGGTTCGTGCTGTTCATGAGAAAAACGGATATGAGTCACGTGGAAAAAAAAATAAAAATCGGATTTTGTCCACATTTACCTGCAGTGTGAATGTAGCCTTCGACTCGTTCACTAAACTGAACAGCCAATCAGATTTATTTCTCTCACTAACTCTGAAACACTGAATTGGCCTCAAAAATACCTAACAGCATCTGACTAGAGACAACAGTGTGGAACACACCAAGAAAACCAAGTCGACTGATGCTCAAAAATAAATGTGTCTTGACGGCCAATCTTTGGCTTGCTGTGTCCCTGGCTTAAGGGAAACATGGACACTGAGTATTTATTAGACACTTTTGAGGAGCTAAATAACCTTTTTCTAGTTCCTGTCCAGAATGAACTCTCTAGTGCCCCCCTGACAACTGAATATTTCTTCTGGGAAATAAATAAGTCATTGTTTACGTTGATCTCAGAAACCGACACTCCTAAAAGAATCAAATGAATTATGAAGTACTTGCATAATTGATTCTATAAATTGTTCGTGTGAAAATAATAAATATATTGATAAATTAATTATGAAGCAAACCCTGAAAGATGTACAGTCAGTTTACTATAGTGAAACACTAGCTTATGTTAATTTGGAAATGGAGTCCACTAACATTAGTTACTCTCTGTCAACAGCTGCAATTCACTTCACGGCCACCAGCGTCACTAATAACAAGGGTTTTCTAATTCTTACAGACAGTACCTTTTACTTACTGCTCATTTGCATTAATTCCCATTTAATAATAGTTTCCTTAAAAATACTTTCTCTTCTTAAGGATCCTAATATAAAGAAAAATGTGGAGTGACATCTTCTACCCTGAAAACCCTAAGAGAAGGGAGCAGCTCATCCGCAGAAGTCAAGAGCTTCAAGATCTGATGAGGAACAACTTCAGAGCCACCAACCAACTGATTGATGCTATGAACAAGCACTTGAGCTGCTCCTTCGAACATATCTTCCTGAACGAGAGCGCTACTCTTCGGGAGAACTGTGATGTGATAATTGGATGCATGCGTAAGATACAGGCAGAAGTAGAGAGGATTGACAAGAGGCTGAAGGAGAAGCTGGAACCCACCCTGTACGAGAAACTGCGAAGCCTGTCTTTGTCTACTGTAGATTTTAAAGCGATTTCAAAGGCTTTTGAAGCAGTTTGTGGTATTGCAACTGTGGGAGCTACTGTTTTAGTTGGCTATTTAATTGATAAAGGATTTATTCTGGCAAACATAACAAAAAAATTTGCTATAATTGGAGCAGGTACATTAGCCAGTGTTGCATTGGCAGTGGTGTTCTTGGGGATCGACATGATTGTTGAGGCCATTCTTGGGAAAATTGAGGGTGATCAACTTAAGAAAGCCCTAGAAGAGTATGACAGAGCTTTGGAGGAATTCAGGCCAGCGTCTGAACAATATCAGGATAAAATTAACTATGTCCGAATCAAAATTGAGGTTTTAAATGAATAAAAAATATCAGGTTAAAATGTTTTCTTTTTGTGTTTGCTGGAATTGTAAACGAATAATTGTTATTACATGTTTGTGCTGAAAAACATGTAGAAATTTAGCTCAAAGTGACCATGTAAAATGATATGTAGAATGTGAAAAAGAAAGAATCTAGTGGAAAATAAATCACAATTCTGCAATTAAAGGGTCACAAAACCATGCGTGATTGGTGTCTTCTTCCTATAATACAAATATGACATTAAAAGATACCAGAACCACACTCTAAAAAAAAAAGGTTCTTCAGCGGTTCTTCAGCGGTTCCTTGGAGTGGTTAAGGTGCTATATAGCACCACTACCGTATAAAGAACCTCTAAGCCCCTGTATAGTTCTTTAAAGGTTCTTTAACTCTCTCTTAGTCTCTTAGTTTAGCTGGGGAAAGGGTTAAAACAACATTAAAATACAGTCTATTTCTTGAAGATATAATTTTTTTTGCCCCCAAGGCCCCCATAAGGAAATATTCCAGGGCCCCCACATGAGACCTTTGACCTTACCGTTTGACTTTAATTTTAAGTTAAAGTAAGTTTCTCTTTGGCTGTTACAATGGTGTTTATAAAGCACATATGTGATGGCAAGGAACTTATGATAAATTAATTTCATGCGTCTGAGTCTCTGGTTACGTTTTATCAGAATCTGCAGTTCTTTTATGAGTTTTATATTATTGCAGTTCTACGATACTGCGTGACAATGTGAGAAAATTGTATAAACCACTTTTAGAGTTATGGGTTGTAAAGAGGTTTCAGTTCTGTCACTCATAGACATGAAGAATCAGCATGTGAATCTCAGCAACTGTGACAAAATATTCTGATAATTTTGATATGATTTTTGAACATCACAAAACAGGGCCGAAAAAAGTAACAACAAAAATAAAAGCAAATAGTAAGAATAAAAGAAAATACTAAGACAATGCAGCTGCATAATTTATTCATGTCGCAATGCATGCTGGGAGCCATGGATGAGTTATGATTGGTGCACCATTGTTGAGAAAAAGTGCTATATGGCACATCGTATGGTTCTACATGGCACCATTTGACAAAGTGCTATATAGCACCTGTAAAAACAGGTGCTAAATAGCACTAAATGTTGGCATTTTCCCCCAAAAATGTGTCAACTACTTCAACTTCAACATTATTTTATTTTTCTGTTATGCAAATTATTTAGAAACTATTAAGCGGTACATCAAAAATAGTTTGTGCTTGCAGGATGACATGGATGATGCAATATTAATCTGAAACTCATTTCCAGAGTGAAAATCCAAATGATTGATCAAAGAGATTGTTTTTTTTAAGCTGTTTAAATATGTACATTTTTAAGATGAAGGACCAGAATGAAATGATCATCTATTCCTACTTGGCAAATAAGATGTTATATCTGTATTCTTTTGTAATCATGATAAGACGGTGTTTTATGCTCTTTCTTTGATATCTTCAAAGATTAGTGGGTTTATTGTTTAAGTGTGAAAATGGTTGTGTTCAGACTTATCAGGAATTACAGACTGCATGAACATGCTGACTTATGTTTAACTTCAGTTTAGTCATTCGTTTCATAAATTACAATACAATTTCAGTAGAAGCAAAGTGTGCTGACCTTATCTCAAACGGTAAACGCCAGATGTTGGCTTTACATGTTCTCTTCCTGTCTAATAGTTGTGGAATAAACTGAAAAATAAAAGTGGACAAGACTTTGTTCTGACAGTCAAAAGTAAGAAAAGTAGTACTGGTAATTTTCTGTCAGGACATTTTCTGTTACGTTTATGGGCAATATTTTATGTGCTTATTTCACACTATATATTGAATGTTGATTTTAAAATATACTATACAAATATTTTAACCACCAAACCACATGCACGTGGGATATGAAAGATACCACTATACAGCCTTTAAAAACTGACCAGTTTTGTGGTCAGTTGATAAAAAAAGAAAGAAGTTTTGTAATTTTAGGAGTCCTGAAATGTTAAATTTGCTAAAACATACAGTATATATATATTTTAATTGTCCCCTAGAAATGTGGGTACAAATTGTAGTCCGCTACTGTTTCCAAATTGTAAACAGTTGAAAAACAGTAAAAAAAATTGTAGTTAGTAATTTAATCCATTACATTACACATTTTAGGTCATATAATCAGGCTACTTTTTGATTACTTTAATACTTTTGACCTAACTAGTTAATCACATTGATTTAAATAGGATAATCTTGTACCATGTTGATATAAAAATACAGAGAAAGAAAACATATTCCATTTGTTGTTATTAACAACATGAAGTGCATTAAACATTATGCCAAGGTTTCCCAAACTGAGGTTCGTGAAGGAACTGCAGGGGGTTTGTGAGTTTAACGAAGAGTTAATAATTAAGTAAATCATAAAAATGTAAAACTGAAATAATTTTAAAAACACAACAATCAAAATAAAGAACTTTTACTAAAAAGATGAATATTTTATTTGTTTACCTGCATGTCATGTGACCATTAACCACCGTTAGAGAAACATAAGTTTTAATGATTAAAAATATTATTAATAAGCGATTTTTGTAATTTTCTTCAAAATAACAATCTTCTGTTCCCAATAATGGGACAGTCATTATCATTATGACAACCAGAAAAATTATTTTTTCCCCCAAAATGCTTATATTGGCTAATGGCTGTTATGGAAATGAAGAGTTTGAAAGTCAGAAATGTTAGTATGTTGGCGTTTTTCCCCAAAAGTGAATTTCAAAATCTACTGTTATATTTAAACAGTCTTTTCTTCTTTTTCTTACGATTTTGTCTTGTCTATTTGTTTTGTATCTTTTGCAATTTATTTATGCACACTCAAAGTCCCTTCTGGTGGGAAGTTATAACTAGAAATTAAATGTGTAAACCTTTCAAGCATTTGAAAAATGCATATGTCTCCATATTTCCTCATCATATATTCATAATTTGAACCAGTATAGCCAGTTTGCTGCTGCAGGAACCCATGACTCCATGAGTCAGTGAGTCAGTGGTGCAGGTCCGGGTGGTCCAGTCCCTCGTCCGTGAATGCTCTTTTCTGCGAGGTAGGGATGGACTCGCTTTGGAGACCAGGATCTCGGTCACCGTCCGTCACCGTCAGATCCAAACGAAAGCACTTAAGACGTCCCGCTTCTGACACGGTCAGAAACAGAGTCTTTTGAGATTTTATTCTTGCAAGAAGGTCAGACAGAGAGCAGTGAACTCTGCAATATGTGCAGTGTTGGGGAAATTGACTGTTAAAAGGAATGCATTACAATATTGCGTTACTCCCTAAAAAAGTAACTAATTACGTTAGTTACTTTTTATGGAAAGTAATGGGTTACATTACTTTTGCGTTACTTTCGCGTTACTTTTTAAATATGAGCAGGGCTTGATTGTTTTTAATATAAGAAGTTCTGTTTATAGCAAATGTAAACACCCTTTCACATCAAAAAGTGTAATGAATAAACCTCAGGCTGAAGGAAAAGTAAACTCACGTTTGTACAGTAGAACGCAGAAGAAGAAACACTCGTCAGCAATAAAAAAACAATGAAGCACAATTGTTAGTTTATCTAAAGTCATTTTTGTTTATTGGTATGGTTAAACTGGATCATCAAAGGTCAGCAGCAAAGATATCAGTTAATAAAATGGGATTAGATACATTTGTGTTACTTAACATATTTAATTGCAGGGTTGCGTCATATTCTGAGTTTGCATTTCACTGTTTTAATTCATTTTGATGAATACTAAATCTGTTTTTTTGTGAGTGGGATGAATTAATGCACATTCACATTTAGTCTAGAACTACAGTAACATCATGTTCACACAGCGCACACAATGCCTCTGCACTTCTGATTTCTCCCAATATGGGGACAGGAGACATGTCAGTGAATACATGGGAAAACAAAGTAACTGGCGTTACTTTTTTGAAAAAGTAACCCAGATATTTTCTTGTAAATTAAAAAAGAATGCATTACTTTACTAGTTACTTTACTTGTAATGTGTTACCCCCAACACTGAATATGTGTGACCTTCTTGCAAGAATAAAATCTTATAAGACTGCTTTTTTTGCAGAGCCTGTTATTATAACACCCAAATCTAATTTCAGGCCGTGCAAACCACAATATCCATTGAAACAGGGAGCCATCGATGCCATTAAGCAAGTTTTTGAGCCATTGTTGAAGGCCGGCATAATAATCCCACTTCTGACACCAAATTGTTGTAGATATTTTTCTCTTAAATAAAGAACACGCTTTTAGCCAAAGCGACTTACAAATGAGGAAAACAGAAGCAATCAATTGTAGTATTAAAACAACTAAAAACAGATCCAAAAATTTATAAATACTACCTAT